GGAAGTGCAGGATAACACACAATTACTGAGTGTCTTTGGACAGCCGTTCTGAGCATGACACCTGTGCCAGTTTCCTGGGGCCTCTGTCATAAATGACCCCAAACTGGGTGTCTTCACACAGCATGTTGACTCATACCGGGCTTTTTCTGGCCTGGTCCTTCTTAGATGTTGCTTCCTTAGCAGGTGGTGGCAGGGCTTCCTCCCCTTTCCAGGCTAGGTTGGTCTCGTTGTGCTCTTCAGATGCTTGTGACGCTCGTCCTCTGTTTAATTATGTGTTTATCCTGTCTTCCTCACTAGACTGTCTTGTTCAGCTGTCACTGTATGTACTGAGTGGTACGCGAGGACTTGATAAACATTCACGGGATAAATTGACTTAATCATATTCCTGTAATGTTTAAGTTTAATAAAGATTCTCTCTGAGCAATTTTTGTGGAACAGTTCTCTTTGTTTTAGTAATTTTCCACTTCCCTTCTCAGAACATTTCTCAGGTGTTTCTCAGAAACAATTCTCAGAAAGTTTCTCAACATTTTCTGAGTTGCCCTGCTGTAATTAATAAAATAACTATGCCATTCGAATGCCTGCTGCGTGTGAGCATTATGGATATTGTCTTTTAATTCCCATACAACCACGGGAGGGGCGTGTTATCTCCATCTTACAGACGAGGAAACTGAGGCTTAGGAAGGTTGAGTAATTTATTCAAGAATACACATCCCACGAGTGGCCGAGGTGAGCTTACAAGTGAAGCCTGTCTGATTCCAAAACTCTCAACTCTATTTTGTACTTAATTGTTTGACAAGTCTTGAGAGACGGGCTCGTTAAATTGAACGAGTAGTGCAGAGTAAGGCGTGGAGTGCCATTTAAGAGGTCAGGGTAGCCAGGCGGCGTGGCTCATACCTGTCATCCCAGCACTTGGGGAAGCCGAAATGGGAGGATCCCATGAGGCCAGGAGTTCAAGATCAGCCTGTGCAACATAGTGAGACCCCATCTCTACAAAAATAATAATCATAAACAAAATTAGGCATGGTGGCTCATGTCTGTAGTCCCAGCTACTTGGGAGGCTGAGGTGGGAGGACCCTTGAGCCCAGGAGTTCGAGGCTGCAGTGAGCTGTGATGATACCACTGCACTCCAGCCTGGGTGACAGAGTGAGACCCTGTCTCTAAAAAAATTAAACAAATAAATACATACAAAGTCAGATATAATCAGCTCAGGGTTGCTCTGACCTGTGACTCTGGATTTTTTGTCTCCAACCCACGCTCAGACACCATCCAGCACCTCAAGGACAGCAAGCACATCGTCGTGTACCACCAGGGACGCTACTTCAAGGTCTGGCTCTACCACGACGGGAGGCTGCTGAAGCCCCGGGAGATCGAGCAGCAGATTCAGAGGATTCTGGACGACCGGTCAGAGCCTCAGCCCGGGGAGGCGAAGCTGGCGGCCCTCACTGCGGGGGACAGGTGAGCAGCCCCTGCCCTCTGTCCCGTCTCTAGAGGTGGTGGAGGCACCTTACGGTGCTGTGCTCTTCCTTACCTGGGGGCCGTCCCTGCCTGACCTGCAGTGACCCTGGCATGGGGCTGAGCCCCCGGGGCCCTGCCGTGTTCTGGGACGGGCCCTACTCCTGGTCCAGGGGGTCACAAGAGCAGTTGGGTTACAGTGGGGTCCCCGGGCCATCTGTGCGTGGGGCAGGCAGATGTGTGCGTGGAGACACCAGGGCCCGCGACACAGAGAAGTGAGGAGGTAGGCCTTTTCACGGGGCTGTGGGCATATTTACTGATTTAGGACACAGAACAAATTTAAACCAAGGCCCCTGCGTTAGCATTAAATTTCCTTGCCTCTCTGACAGAGAATCAGCCAAGGCTTGTTTTCTCAGGACTTAGCTTGTACAGATGTCGCGGGGTCCCTCGACCTTGGCTCTGTACACGCCGGCATACGGTGCCAGGATAACGCGCGTCGGACGATTCTTTGCGGGGGGCACTGTCCTGTGCGGTGTGGGATGGTGGGCAGCCCCCTGGCCTCTACCCACTGGGTGCCAGCCACAGCCTAGTTGTGTCAACCAAAAGCGTCTTCGGGCACCCCCCCGGTGCCTCTGGCTGAGCGCTGCCGGTCCCCGAGGTGTGACTGCTGCACCGGTGCTGGCGGCAAGGTGGGCGGGGCAGGTGCTGGGTGCCCCTCTGCAAAGATCGGGAAAGGCTGGAGCCACCACAGGTGGGCTGGCTGTGTCTGGCAGAGAGCGGGGGCAAGCCAAGAGCCCCGAGGCAGCAGAGCAGGAGGAACCTCGGAGTGGACCAGGCAGCTGGGCCGCAGTGCCAGGCTGGGGAGGGCCCTGATTCTGCAACCGGGGACCGATTCAGGCTGACAGCCACAAGAGTAGGTGGACGACGAGAGAGATTGTTCTGGTTGGGCGTGGAGGAGGGGACCCCAGAAAGCAGGGCGGCTTTTCGGTGCCCAAACAGCGAGGCCCTGAAAGAGGCCTGTGAGTGGGACTAAGGAGGCTTGTTCGAGGAAGCCGGCATGGAGTAGCAGCTGCTGCGGGGTTCACGGAGCGGGAAGGAGCAGCTGCAGGGAAGTGTGTCTCAGGCGAGCGTCTGGACTTACCCAGCAGGGCAGCCTGGGGGGTGGCGGGTTGGGTGCTGCTGAGGAG